TGCTTGGATCTTCCGATTCTTCGTTTCTTCCAAAAATGAATAATGAAGTAATACACATCAGCACCTCTTTGGATCCCACTCACAGCCTAAACTCTTCTTCTTCACGTTGCCTGATTTCGTGCCTCTTTCGATTCCGCTCAACTACCATTCATTTCAAAGAAATGCTAAAAGGAGCTTCTTCGCATTCTTCTCCTGTCAGATCGGAAGCCACGGGAGCCATTGCTTTTTAAGCTTCTTTTGTCACAGGAGTGATGTTAGTCATGATCGTTCATACCATTAACATCTCTTGGAGTCGCACACAAGCAGCGCGTCGACGCTAGCCACTGTTAGGACTCATATACACTGCGGTATACCACACCATATTAAATCATTACTGTTTTTCACCTCTCTGCCATCACCTGCACATAACAGTATGGTCATCATATTGCAAAGGCACCATGTGCACATGGGAGTAATCCTCCTATATATACATAAGCAATGTACTATGCCTTTAAGCTTCTTTTCACAATACTGGAAATACTTTTCTTCCCACACAGCCTCTTCTGCTATCTTCCTTCTTACTTCTTCTAACTGTTTTGCAGGTTCTCTCATGGTGTCAGAGCTTCATCCGAAAGCTGCTTCCTCTGCAAAATCATGATCGACTCGTCACCAACTCAATCCTCAACTGAAGCGTCGCCTCCCACAATCCCTCCGGCGATGTCCGAGATAGCCATTCCTCCCTCTCTCAAGTTCTTGATGAACAACCTCAAGCTTATCATCTCCAACCAACTCACCAGTGATAACTACTCGATCTGGCGACTACAAATCTTTTAACTGTTCTCTGCTAACGGATATGAAGGGCATCTCACCGGTGGCAGTCCCAAACCCACCACCACCACCGCCTCAAGAAACGAGCTTCGGCTCTAGAACTTGATAGATCAGAATCTAGTGTCTGTACTGTTGTCGACGATCTCACCAGCGGTCTTGCCATATATCCTCACTCTCTCCACCGCAAGAGACATTTGGATCACCTTGGAGCTGCGCCTTCAGCCAAAAAATCGTTCCTGAGTGATTCAGTTCAAGAATGAACTGTATCACATTCAAATGAAAGACCTAACCATGATGCAGTATCTGGCTAAAATCAAGTCTCTAGTTGACAACATTGCTGTTGCCGGGTCCATTCTAGACCTTGAAGAAATCATCCTCCACATTTTAAATGGCCTTCCGCCATCTTACAATCCTTTCAAAACCTCTATTCGAACAAGTCAACTTCCTTTAAGCCTTGACATCTTGTACAACCTGCTATGTAGTGAGGAGATCCATATGCAGACAAACATTTATCGCGACTCTAGCTCTCTGGCTGATTCCATTGCCCTGTACACCAATCGCGGTGGCTCCTCTCGTGGTCGCTCCTCCTACCGTGGATCTCGTGGTCGCGGAGCTCCCTTCAGGCCAAACTCCTCCACCGCCCGAAATGATTCTCCAAGGCCAACCTGCCAGATATGTATCAAACCAGACCACATCGCCTCTTCCTGTTGGCACCGCTTCAATGCAAATTATGGTACCACCTCAAATACGCCTCAGACAGCACTCCTGACCAACTCGCATCCCACCTCCCCCAACGAGAGGGTTCTTGACTCCGGTGCATCAACGCATCTTACTCCAGATCTCAACAACCTGCAGCACTCGTCCCCTTACAACGGCTCGGAAACAATCTCCACAGCTAATGGCAACTCTCTTCCCATCCATCACACCGGTCAGGGCCTACTACCACTCCCCGACTCCAACCGTAAGCTCCTACTGCGTAACTTACTCCACGTTCCCCTACTGTCTCACAATCTCATTTCAATTCATAAACTCGCCTCTGACAATAACTATTCCATTTCTTTTGACTAGCATGGCTTCGTCATTAAGGATCTTACGGAAAACCAACCGCTCATCCGTGGACCCAACCATAACGGCCTCTACTCTGTCGCCTCTACATCATCCAAACCTCCGGTCGCTCTTCACACCTCCGCGTCCAACTCCACCGTCTGGCATTCCTGTCTTGGACATCCCAACATCGGAAGTCAACAGCATCTTGCTCGTCTCTTCACGTCCATCTGCAGTCCATCACCTTCTTATGTTTGCGAGTCCTGTAATATGACAAAAATCCACAAGTTATCTTTTCTGTTTTCTACTTCTCGTGTAACTGAACCTTTTGATTTAATACACTCGGTTGTTTGGGGTCCTTCGCCTCTTTCTTCTACAGATGGCTATCGATTTTATGTTATTTTCGTGGATGACCATACCCGTTTTACCTAGTTATATCTAATGCACACTAAAGATGAAACTCTCTCCAAATTTAAACAATTTCATAAACTAATACTCAATCAATTCAACAAACAAATTAAACAATTCCGCTCGGATGCCGGCGGCGAATTCACTAGTAATACATTCAAACTGTACCTAACTGATCACAGCATCAATCATCAATTCAGCTGTCCATATACTCCCGAGCAAAATGGAATGGCAGAACGGAAGCACCGTCACCTCTTGGACACCACTCGAACACTTCTTCATCAAGCTCATCTTCCTCACCTCTACTGGGCCGAAGCTCTCCTCACCTCTAATTATCTCATCAACCGGCTGCCTACCAAGGCCTGCAACAATAACATACCATACCAGCTCCTCTATCATCATCCACCCAACTACTCATATCTTCGCACATTTAGCTGTCCCTGCTTTCCCTGGATACATCCCACCATACCCACCAAATTTCACCCTCGCTCACAACCCTGCCTTTTCCTAGGCTACTCTCCGTCTCATAAAGGCTATCACTATCTTAATATTCAAACCAAGAAACTTCACATTTCCCGCCATGTCACCTTTCATGAAACTTCCTTTCCATATGCCTCCCTATCCACTACAAATTCCTCTCATTCTCCTCCCAGAATCTCCCATTCCTTCTTCCCTCCATATCTTCTCCTTCCAACTACCACACTAACTCACTCACCAATTTCGGTTCCACCTCTAACAGCTACACCCTCACCGTCCAACTCCCCTGTCTCCCCAATCTCACCCATATCCAATGCCACTTCCCCACCTACCACCACATTCTCACCACCTCCACCTAATATCCCTTCCACCCATCCTATGCAAACCCAACTTAAAGCAGGTATTCACCGTCCGAAAATTATTTTTGACCTTCTCACTGTTCACTCCACAAACCATGTACCCTCCTCCTATACTCAAGCCATCAAATCACCTCATTGGAGGGCTGCCATGTCTGAGGAGTTTTAAGCCTTACAAAAGCAAGATAAATGGTCTTTGGTATATCCTCCTCCTCATACCAAAGTATTAGGCTGCAGGTGGACCTTTCGCACAAAGCACAAACCAAATGGTGAGGTGGACCGCTTTAAAGCACGCCTTGTAGCTCAGGGCTTTGGCCAAGAATTTGGCATCAACTTCGGCGAGACTTTTATCCCAGTGGCGAAAATGCCAACGATAAAGGTGCTACTTCTCTTATCTCTTCAGTACAAGTAGCCGGTTCTCCAATTTGACATCTCAAATGCCTTTCTTCGTGGCGATTTACATGATGATGTCTACATTGTACAGCCTCCCGGCTTCATAGATAGGGACAAACCCCATCTCGTTTGTAAGCTGCACAAAGCTTTATACGGCCTCAAACAAGCTCCACGGGAATGGAACAACAAATTCACATCCACCCTTCTTAATTTCGGCTTCTCCTTCAGCAAGGCTGACCCGTCCCTACTATGCTTCTCACGGGATGCCTCCAAGATCTATCTACTCATTTATGTAGATGACTTTTTGATCACCGGCAATAATCCTACCATCATACAGCAGCTCATCACTAAGCTCCATCATGAGTTTCACTCAAACAACTGGGAGAAATCAGCACTTTCCTGAGAATCACGGTTCAAAAATAGTCCTACGGCTTACTCCTCACTCAGTCTCAGTACACTGTTGACATCATTCATTCTGCAGGATTACAACATAGCAAGCCCGTAGCCACACCAATGGTTCCCAAACCACCCACTGATTCGGCGGCTGCTCTACCTTTTCCAGACCCCACTCATTACCGCCGTCTGGCTGGCTCCTTGAACTACCTCACTATCACTTGACCGGACATAGCGTTTGCTGTCAACAACATCTGCCAACATATGCACAACCCAACTAATGAGGACTACACATCTCTCAAATGCTTACTTCGATACATCCAGGGAACGCTTCACTTTGGACTTCCCCTATCTGCCAGCTCTCTCCATCTGACTGCTTATTTTGATGCAGACTGGGCTAGTGACTCCAACAACAACAACAACAACAACATCAAGCCTTTATCCCACTATGTGGGGTCGGCTACATGAATCCTTTTTCTCCATTGTGTCCTATTAAAAGTCAAATTCTCGTTTAAATCTAATAAAGAAAGGTCATTCCTAATATTTTATAACCAAGTCTTTTTAGGTCTACCCCTACCTTTTTTAACATAATTCAAATCTAATACCTCTACTCTCCTAACCGGGTCATCGGAAGGCCGCCGTTTAATGTGACCAAACCATCTAAGGAGACTCTCTCTAATCTTGTCTTCTACTGGAGCTACTCCAACCTTTTCACGTATATGCTCATTTCGTATCCTATCTCTAAGGGTAAAGCCACTCATCCACCTGAGCATCCTCATCTCTACCACACTTAACTTAGTATTATGCACAGCAATGTGACCGTGTTGAACATAAATCTCAAATGGAAGGGTTAATTTCAAATATTTAAAATACTCCCCAAATTTCCAAATGCCCATAAAATCCAAAATGCCAAAAATATCAAAACTTGAAATATTTAAAATCAAGATTCAATCATTAAACTCTTAAAGGAAAACACATCAACCTTCCACAATAGTTTGCCGAGGTGGACAAATTCAAATATCATTTCTTCTCACAAAGTGCTAATGTCTGATCGAGAATATTACTAGGATTCATTCTCAAACAATCTATTGCCAGAAAAAATGTGGCACAAGTTCTATAATCAGTGATTTTGACGCCAAATGGCATCATATGTAAGCAGTTACGACAGGAGACCCTGAACCTAGAAGCTTGCCGTCAAATGACACCACTAAATTACGATCATGGCTAGAGCACGTAAGAACCCAATGACACTAAATCCTTGATATATGAATTAATATGACATAATCGATATGGCATAGAGCCCTCTGTTAGCTAAATTGGATTCAATTTTTTAAACTTATGCAAAATTTACCACATGTCTATAAGGTACCCTTGGATGACGCAACCCATGGCTGCTGACAAGGATCCTTCCGTCGAGTTGGGTCGACTACCTTCTCTGATTAAGTAGGCCATGGACCATGATGGCCGAGATGAAAGAACCATGGGATCTTGATCGAGTCCATCATCCATTCGCCCACCATCAGCTTTAAGTGCAAGATGGTGAAATTTTTAATTTAAAATATTAAACCTTCAAACACCTAAATCCGCGATGCTACTATTTGCCAGATACACGTATCTCTACGTATCTGATTGACGACTAGCCTTAATCGAAAGTTCTCACTCGTTATCGAGAGGGGTAATTAACTATAGGCGCTTGCGCCTATAGGGAACCAAAACTTGGATCTAAAGTCCTCGTAAATTGAGGGTGATATATCTGGGTGTTTGTTATTATTTCGAACCCAATTTGCCTTCTAAAAAATTACTTCAAAACATAATTCGCTAAAACTCCCTCGAAGACAAAGGAGGCCGCGACGCGAAATTTCAGAGCCCGTAGTGGAGTTCTTTACTCCATTGCTACCTGTTACGGTTTATCATTGTGATTTGTGATTAACTTTTTTCCTTGTGAGATTTTGGTTAGTTATTGCGAGCTAGAAATCAAATCATGAAAATAACTTTTCTAGTTAATGTATTGCAAAATTTCTAATTTGTGTAAAGCTAATGTATTTGATTTTCTTATTTTTGAAATGCGGTTGTTGGAGGTGATTATCCTGTGATTATGTGCATTTTATGAGCTGCGTTATTCTAGTGGCAATATTGTTTTGCTTAGCAATTTGCTCTGATCCTTATTGATGGGTTTTATTCCTGATGAA